GGTTCCACTTCTTCTGCTAGCTCCCAGGCTTTCTGTGCAAACAGATGCCTCTAATGATGGCAGATGGAGCTCTGGTGGCATAGTAGGTAAAGCATGTGGCTGCTAACCAGAAGGTCAGTGGTTCAAACCTATCAGCTGTTCTGCAGGAAAAAGAAGGGGCAATCTACTTCTCTAAAGATTTACAGCCTTGGAAACCAAATGGGGGTCACTATGAGTTGGAATCGACGTGATAGCAGTGAGTTTGTTTGAATGATGGCAGAGAATGCAGTTCCATAAACTTGTCTGCATCCATTGCCATTAGTCATAGACCTCTTGGACTGCTCTGCCTAGCTCTAATATATGTCAAAATTTAAATATTGGAGGACATGAAATGTCTTTTACTAGGAATAGGATGAATGACCTTAGAGAAGCTGTAGTCTCAATTTCTTCATCTTAAAAATAAGGTCGCTGCACTAATCAGTGCTTTTCAAAGAGAAACACTTTTGACTAATAAAATTGTACCTAGATATCCAATATGCAAAGCTAGAAGAAGCTGAACAACTTCTTGATGGGGGTAAAGGGGCCCAGTATTGTGAACACTAAGCCTTTCCTCCACCATTTGACTATCAGTTTGTCACACTGTGGTGGGTTGTGGTTGCTGTGATGCTAAAGCTATGCCACCAGTATTTCAAATATAAGCAGGGTTACCTAGGTGGACAGGTTTCACCAGAGCTTCCAGACTATGACAGACTAAGAAGAGGGACTTGGTAGTCCACTTCTGAAAAAACTGGCCACAGAAAGCCTCATGACTGGGCAATGTTTCATTCTGTTGCACAAAGGGTTGCTATGAGTTGGAACCAACTTGACAGCATCTAACAACAACAACAAGCCTTTCCTTGCCCCTTGCCCTGTCCCAGTCCCTGGGGATCTTTAGTCTGATCCCAGACCTCCAAAGAAGATAAATTTGAAGATTACTGGATTAAGTAATCCCTAAAATCTTTCCTGGTGCTTAACTTCTGTTGAAAAAGAAAAAAGAAATTGTATTATAGATTTTAGAGTTTAAAAAGGAACTTAGTTCCAGATTATCTGCACCATTTGTTTCCATTAGACTGGTTTAGAGCCAATCTGCTTCATTTCAAAAGTTACTCTATTGAAAGTCTTTTAGACACAGCAATTCTGAGGAATTATATTTTTTTTAAATTCTGAGAAATCCTTGAGTCTGGCTTCCATTGTGTTTTTTATGTTTAGTGGTATTGGGAAGGATGTGGATGGAGAGTAGAGAACCACCAGTCAAATTTAAAAGAGAGACAGATTTGGGTGGGAAGAATCATAGATTTTAAGGCCAGAAGGATAAGTAAATAAACGACTCCAGTGTTCTGCCTTCACAAAGATACGCTGTTCATTCATTTATCCAACATCTGTTGAACACTGGGGTTCCATGCTAACCACCTGGGTAACAGGGACAAAGAAAATGTAGTTTCTGTCCACAGGAGTCTCAGAGCCCAGCAGAGGACAGGACTGGTAAATGTATACTCTTATAGCCATGTGATATGTAACAGGGGCACATGCAAGGTTTTATGGGACTTGCTGCACCATAGTCTTCAAAGTGACATTTTTGTTCTTTAACAGTTTAAAGAGATCTTTTGCAGTAGATTTTCCCAATGCAATATATCATTTAATTTCTTGACTTTTGCTTCCATGAGTGTTGATTGTGGATCCAAGTAAAATGAAATCCTTGACAACTTCAATCTTTTCTCCATTTATCACAGTGTTGCTTATTGGTCCAGGTGTGAGGATTTTTTTTTTTTTTCCTTTTTATGTTGAGGTGTAACCCATACTGAAGGCTGTAGTCTTTCATCTTCATCAGTAAGTGCTTCAAGTCTTCTTCACTTTCAGCAAGTAAGCTTGTGTCATCTTACACAAGCAAGTAAGCTTGTTTCAGGTTGTAAATGAGTCTCCCTCCAATTTTGATGTTGCGTTCTTCTTCATATAGTCCAGCTTCTCAGATGATTTGCTCCGAATACAGATTGAATAATTATGGTGAGAGGATACAACACTGACACACGTCTTTCCTGATTTTAAACCATGCACTATCCAAGCAGACTAAGATGCACCTGACCCATGACATGATATTTTCAATAGCCTCATATGGATTTGAGAGCTGGACAATAAATAAACACTGCAGAAGAATTGATGCATTTGAGTTGTGGTGTTGGCAAAAAATAATGAATCACTTCTAAAAATTAAATGTTTATGTGCTTCCAAAGACTTCTCCAAAAGAGTCAAAAGAGAACCTACAGATTGGGAAAAAATATTTGGTAATAACATA